ACTGCAAGAAACACAGTTAGCTGCAGTGCGAACAAAGCTCAGATCTGCGGCAGCCAGGTCATGCAATATTCAGTTCTGGCGGTTCTGCATTTGGAAAACCGAGGGAAGCCAAAAATTATTTGGCCGGGCAAATGGTGGAACGCTATTACGGCCAGGCACAGGCTTGCGGAAGAAACAGCAAAGCAACATCCTCCGAAGTCTGTAGGTATCCCGAAAATGCTTGGCAGAAGGGTCACCCACCAGGCTTGTGGGAGGTTGGCTGACTCGGGGTTTGTTTGTTTGAGCTGACATCAGTTCCCAGTGGGCCGGAGGAGTGGCAGAAGATCTTTGCTCAGCTTTCTGGGGTGGAGTTTGAGCCGCTGAAAGCGACGGACAGAAAGCTGGTAACCCTCTTTGGTATCACGGAATCGGCCATGCTTCTCCGATGTCATTTGGGTACGAGTTTCAATTGGGGATGATTCGGTGCACATCATTTGACAACTTTCCCACAGTCCGTGCACCCGCAATTGCCGGGAAACGCATGCCCCAAAGGTCAAAGTGATCGTTTGGAGACCAAGAACCTCCAACGAAGCCCACATGCACGAAGCGCACATGCACGAATGCCGTAAAGGCCGGCTGGTTTTTCTTTGATCTGGTTTTGACTGCCTCTGCTTTCTCCATTGTCTTGATTCTGCGTAACTCTTCTCATTAACGCAGGGTTTACTAGAAGAGTGTCCCTGAGGGGCACATCATTGGCAGCCATTTGTCCTTCCCTCTATGAACAGCAGATGTTCACCGATTCAAGTGCCATTTGTTTCTACTTGAAGAGGCATGAATCGATCTTACTGTTTCAAGTCAGCTTCTCGCACATGTGCAGGCAATTTCTGGCCAGTGGAACTCCCCTTCCGGCTCGGAGGGTTCGGTGCGAATCGACCAACGACCTTGGGCTCAGTCACTACCAAGCCAGATCCTTGCAGAAACCGACAGACGCGCGCATGAACCTGTGTTGGCCATGAGTTCTGCACAACACAGATGTGTAGATCTGTGTAGATGTGTGCTTGGAGGGGAACACACCCCACCGGCACTTAGTCGTTGGCCTCGAATTTGGACCTTTTGTTTTGGCAAGCCCGTTTGTGGTTTCTGCCCACGGGGAAACCGTGGTGCTATTGGACTTCGGGTTTTTGCGATGCGGGCCTACGCTGAGGCGCCGCGTCGGGTCTCGACACATTGGTGGACGTGCCGCTGATTCGGCGCGGGCCCCGGGAGTGACTGGTGCTGCGCTTCAGGATTTCGGAAAGGAGAAACTCAGTCACTGGGTTCCCGGACTTCATGCTTTTTGGGCCGGGGAAGGTGATTTTAGTGGCGGACATGCTTTTTTTCGGCCAATCCAATCAGGAAGTGAGGGAAGACTCAGTGGGGTTTTGTCCGTAGCTCACATCAGGAAGCAGCCAACAGTCAGATTACCCTGGAATATCAGAAGAACTTGGTGCTCGAAGCACAGAAGTGGGCACGATCCAAAGTAGCGCGCTTTTCCGTCATAACATCCCGCACGAGATAGTGAGGCGGGTTTGTCTCAAAATTTGGTAAAACCATCCAAACATGGGCACCGCCAGAAAGACACCTCTTGGGCCCGCTGCCACGAAGGTGGGACCATGAAAAGTTTTTTGACCCGGACGAGAACAGCTGGCGGCTCTACAAGACCTGCGCAAGGCTTGTGCTGTGACCGGCTTTTGAGGAGGGGGCCCTGATCTTGCGGAAGATTCCCCAGGTTCAGCGTTGAGGGGCTGCCAATCAAAGAAAACTGAAAGAGCAGCCCCTCTGTCCACTTCCATGATTGTTGGAAAGACGATAAGTCCTTGAGAAGGGGTCGATTTTGTGCCAGTATTAGGGTTCTTGGCGCTATGTTGGGACTTGGACCAGCCTGTTCACATTTGCCTGAACATGTCATTGCCTACTTGTGCGTGTTGATCACATGTTTGCCTCTTTCAACTTGGCTCATGGCCTGTCAGTCACATTTGTTTCGAACGGATGGCGAGCATTGTTTGGCCAGCAAATCAGGGAGAAAGCAGCTTGAATATGTCAAGGGCAGTGTCCTCTCATCAGACTACGGGGGGAACCTCACTTTTTCCATATCAGTTGTGGGCACTCGTCATATTGTTTGCGTCTTGCAGATCTTGTTGCGGCGTGTGTTGGCACTCGGTTCGCATCTGACTGGCCACTAAGTGGTGTGGGATCAGCCCTGTGCAACGGCCCTTTGGGCGTTGCTTGCCATGGTAGAGGTGAACGAACACCACTTTCTTGTCCTGCGTGCTTTGCACGACATGTAAACGCATCGCCAAACGGACGCAAAATTGGGCAGCGACTAAAACTCCTGTTGGCCATGTTGGGTAGGTAGAGTTTTCTACGGGTTTTAATCGGGACTAAAGTAATATCTATATGAACCTTTATAGACATGGGTTCCATAGCTTCTCAGTTGCTGTTTAAGGCTGTAGCTTTCCTTTTGCTTCCGTACCTGCTTGCTTGAGTTGGTTTGGCCTAATTTATTTCGATGCAGTGCATGGTTGTATTTGGTAGTGTTGATGCTTTGCGGGTTTTGGATCGTGTAAATTCAATTTGTGTTAAGTTGTAAGTGTATCTTACCGCATTGTACTTTGCTGCTTTACTCTTCTCTACCGTCCTATCCTGCCCATTTCAATGCATCAACACAAGTGACTCATTTCCACGCTATTCCAATGTGATGGGTTGAGTTCGCCTTTTCTTGATTCACGCTGCGTTGCATTTGAACGTAGGTAGCTCAGCGGGTTGACCGGTACACACGTTTTCGTGCAGGTCAACTGGCAATAAATCAATCAGCCTTTTCGGAATCAACCTTATGGTACACCACCATTTGAGCGCAGGCTGAATTCCTAAAGGGTTCGATTGACTTCGCGCAACCTCGCAGGCACATGTCCGTCGTTGAGGGCGTCGACCTCTTTGACAACAAGATGCCGGGAGCCTCACTCACTCGGCGACGGGATGGAACGACAGTGGTACTGAACGAGAAGGACGAAACCGTGAAACACGAAGAAACACCCACTTTTTGGGCATTCTTTGCTCACTCCGCAAGGAATTCACCAGCGTGTTTGGAGCAAAGCAGGGCTTCCAACTCTATCAAGGCCAAGGGAGGAAGCCGTAGCTTTCGCCGCTGGAGAACATATCTATCATTGGGCTGGGTGCAGTCCTTGCATACGGCGAACACGCAGCAACACAACCGGACATTTGGTCTTTTGGTCTTTGCGACTTCCATGTAGTTCAGGAGCTTACACATGGTTCTCATATCCCCTTTTGCGACGGACATAAAGTAGAGTAACTTACTGTCAGGCCGGTGAAAAGAGAACAAAAGGGCTGTGGATGTACCGTGTGTATCCGGTGTCTACATTGTTTCAGTTGTGTTTTGCTTTCTCCCTGAGGACTTGCGAAACAACACAAGCCTATGGTGGACACTTGCCGAAGCTTGCCAGCTTTTTGGTCTGCAGGCTGGCAGCCTCGGTGTCTGTTGTTTCAGCCTTGGTGTGGCCCAGGTTCGGCATCACGCCGGCGGAGTCGAAGATTATGGACCCCCAGCAACGGGTGGTGCTGGAAGTAGGCGTGGGAAGGGCGGGATGTTTATTCGGCGCTTGATTTGTGGTGGTTTGGCTCCAGCAAGCCAGCTACAGGAGGTGTTTGGCTGGCGAATTGCCGATTTCTATGATTGGTGGTAGCTGCTTGGTTGTTTGCCCCTCTCAACCCTGACCTCTTGGCCTGGCCTCTCCTACACAAGCAAAGGAGCATGGCGCAGTGACAAGGTGGAGGTTCAGAGACAGGCGTCAAGTAAGCGAGGGGCTTCGACTCAGGAAATCCCCGGTTGAAGACAAAGCTCCATGGAAAGGGAGCGAAGGTTTCTTGTGATGTCTATACGACTCGCGGAAGGTCAAGGAAGGCGTCAACAGGGCGGCAAAAAAAATTCGTCACGCGAAGCAAGTTTTGCCTTCACCGGAGAGGATCAAGGTGCCTCATAGCATATACAAATCAAACGAGCAGCTGCCATTGTCTGTGTTCAGAACTTGTTGGAGCTCGCTGCGGAGTTCCTTTCAGTCTTTCACTTGCTCGGCTCGCTACAAACTCACTTCAAGGGGACTACCTTTTTCTGGCTGTTGCATTCTGCTTGTGTAAGAAGACGCTCCAGGCACACATTTAGATGCATGCAACAGACAGGATTTGACCACACCAGGCATGAGCAAGGAAGCTCCCGGATGTTGCTAGGTTCGTTTCTCGCGCGAAGCTTTTCTGACTTTTTCGAACGCGGATGCTGCAGAAGGCCCTTACCAGAACCAATTGAAGTACACCTTCTATCGGCCAAGCCAAGGGCTTGCATTGGCCCACGGGTGTGACTGCAGGCGTTTCCCGCCTTGTAGGTCGCTTCGATAGCTCGGTGCAACTCCCGCAGAAAAGCACGCGTGACGTCCTCGAAAAGCAAACGTTACATCTTCGAAAGTAAGCTTGTGCACTAGACACTTGGTGTGGTCCTTCAGGGCCAAACTTGCTATGCTAGCCCAGTCGAGGGGCGAACATTCGATGGCGTTCCACAGAGAGCCGTGCGTGGGAACACCTGTGTCCACAATTTTATTCTCTCATTGAAATTTCATCAGCCAGGCGAGCGAATAGTATCCCTGTGTTCCTGGCAAAGCTTTCTAATCCCTAAACCGAAGCCAGATGAAGAACACACAAAGTTGTGGGTCAGTGGGAAACGTATTGCTTGAAACACCCAGACCGAGCCTTTTGCCCTTGTGGCCATCTGAAGGGGGATGTTCCTTCGGAAGAACTGCTTGCATCAAGCCCGAACGTCTTTGCCGTCGCTACTCCCATAGTGGTTGTGCTGGGGTGCTGGGGTTGGGGGGGGGGTCCCAAACAGGGTTCCAATTGTTTGGTCGCAGCACAAAGACGTACGCCCGGAGTTTGTTTTCCTTTCCCAACGCAGACCGTCCTGTTTCAGGCATTTTGGGGCCCTCCCACCAATATGGAAGTCCGCAGGCCGATCAAGTCAAATCTTCCAAGGGGGACCCGTGCTAGGCTACGAGGCGCTCTTCTCGGCGGGCTACAAGAAGGGCCGGCTCATGGGGTGCCTGGGTGGGATGCGCCGCGGCCCAAACAGAGTGGCACCGAGCCTCAACGGATCCTCAGCCCGAAGATGCAAGACACGTGAGATCTTTGGTTCCATTGATCTTGGGTAAGCGTGTGCTATTTTATCCCACTAAAGATTGAAAGGACCTCTGATCTCTGCTCATTTCTGATTCACTGCTTGACGCCTGGTGTTTGGCGCACATGATTTCTCTTTTTGACCAGGGGTGTCACAACAGAAGAAGTCTTCTCTTGGACCCCGTTTTTCATTCTTTCCCCAAGTTCTATAGCCAGGGGCTCTTGCCAATTTTGCTTGTGGGCCTGCCCGGCGGTTAGGCAGGTTCTGGAATGGCTGAATTCTGGCTGATCTGGCCATTTGGGCAAAACCGCATGCAGCTCTGCAAACAAAGGTGATGGAATCGAATCCCCAGGCAGGCGATGTCCACCCAAGGAGCCATTTCGAGTCCCAAAGATTGCAAGTATGGAACGAGGCCCCCTGTCTAAACCAAAAACATGATTTGTGCTTGCTTGCCTTGCAAGTTCGAAGGAACTCCACCATCTTTGACCCCGTCTGATTCTCAAAACCAGGAAAGCACGTTGGAGACAGTTTCAGGCAGTCTTCCTTTGATTCAAACCCCCCTTTAAAGTCAACCAACCAAACAAAGGATACCCTTTTTTCCCCATAGCCACTGGGCATTTGAGTCTACCTTGGGAAATCGACAAATCAAAGTTTGGTCTCAGAGTTCGCCGGCCGAGGTATTTGGGCTATGGCACTGGCAACTCCGACTTCGGCGCCTTGGATGATTTTTTCGGCACACCCGACTTTCGGCGCCGGGCGCCGGGCCCCTTCAGTGAACCGCCTTCACGTGGGTTCCTTTCTGTGTTTTTTGTGCCTTGCAAGTTTGTGTTTGCTCTTTGTTTGTCTTCATTTTTTCGAGTGGGCATTTGGCTTCTGAAAAACAATTTGTGGGACATGGGTGGCCTGCTAAGTTGAATTGCAGCCAACCCTGTTGTCAACCCCTTTATGTCCGTGGACGGAATTGGGGCCCCGAGTTCTTCTTTCTAGGTTTGATGGCAGGGTCCCGGTCAGTCGGTCGGCAGCCTGGGCCGCCCGTGAGTTGACAACCCTCAACCCACCCATGCTAGATCACCGGGTTACATGAATTCCTTTCATTGGAGAGCCATGGTTTCAATTGTTCTTTGCTTTCTTCTCCGGGCGTGTGGCTTTTCGACCCTAAACCCACCCTAAACCAATCCTAGACCGCCACTAAACCGGCCCTAAACCACAACTAAACCCACAACAAAACCAAACTCAAACCAAACCAGAACCCGCTCTAAACCCACCCTAAACCAACCCTAAACCTAAAGCAGGTGCATGCTGTTTGAAACTACTGTGAAACAATATATTTTACTGCCCGCCGAACCCAGGCAATAAAATTGGGAAGATAAAACACACAACTTTGTGCCGGGGAATCGCCTGCTAAGTTGAACATCCGAATCCAAGCTTTTATGTCCGTGGTCGAAGTTGCCTGCCAAGGTGGTTCAAGCAATGGCACGTCATATCATAGCCATCGGGTTTAAGTTCGTTTAGGGCCCGCCCGTCTGCCCACTCATTCGCCCGCCCGCCAGCCAGCCAGCCAGCCAGAACCACCAACCAACCAACCAAAACCACCAACCAACCAGCCAGCCAGCCAGCCAGCCAGCCAGCCAGTCTACCAACCAACCAACCAACCAGCAGGTGTTAAATATCAACCCCTGCTATCTTGCCAAAGCGTGACTCAACCCTTCGAGACGCCCAGGCCACGTGGACCGCTCTGGCGACAGCGCCGCCGAAGGCTCCTTTGGGGCCACCGGAGGCAGCGCGGCCATCACTGCCAACAGGCCTAGGGTGGGCTGGGTGGGGTTGGGGATTGGGGTGGGATCACTTGGGGTTGGGTGGGGTTGGGGGTTTGGGGTGGGTTGAAATTGGGGGTGGGATCACTTTTGGCTCCAAGTTAAGAACAAGGTTCCAAAAATATGCGCCTTCAGGGTCGTTCCAACCTTTCACCCTTTGCCCTGAAAGGGTGGATTCAAACATCACCTTTTGGAAAGGCAAATTCATTTGGTGAGTTCTCCTTTTGGTGAGGTGATTTTTAAAGGGGAAGTGTACTGTGGCGAGCTCACTGATTCGGCGAAGACCCATGTGGGGTCTTTGGGCATCTAATGCTTACTTCAGTTTTTCGGAATTACTGTAGAATTTTTAAATATTTGGCTTTTTGAGGCTTGGGGTGGGTGGGTGTGCTGTTTTCGTTGGGGCAGATGAGGTAAGAGGGCAGGTCAAGGGTGTCAGTTCTGGCTGCCTGGCAAGTCATTTTTGGCATGGGAGTCGGGGGTCAGCATGGGCGTCAGGGGGGAGCAGTCAGTCTTCCAATTCCAAATGTCAAATAAAGCAGTGTCACCTAACATTGCAATAATTACCTGTACCGCTCGTTGATCCTCCCTTTTGTGGTATTGGTGTTTAGACCCCTGGCCCACCAATCAGCAAGTCCTTGGGTAAAGGAAGCTCATTATCCTGCAGGTAATGCTAAAGAGGAAAGACATTCGCACAAAGGATCATGAAGTCGCTCTCCCGCGGACAACCAACAGTTCACTGGCCACACATGCCGTGCTGGGGCGATTTCAAGCCGGTGGTTGTTACCGGGTTCGGCCGTTTCCTGGTTGCAAAAGTACTTTGCTAACGCCAAGATGGCAGCGTAGGCTGTTGCCTTTTCCAGAATGGGTTGTTCTTGGAGGCTTATGCCACTCAGTCAGTAGGCTATCTCGGGATTATTGGGGGTGATCGCCTCATTATGACCGTCCTGATACGGTTGTTGGCATTGGAGCTTTAACCTCCTAGTCATGTGACATGATTCGGGATATCTGCAGCTATGGTAAGAGACTCAATTCCTGCCCAACCCGTCCCTTGGTTTCCCCGAGCCCCTCATGGTGTACGTGGGAAAAAGCGTCACCCAGCAAGCTGCTTGAGCCTTCGACCCTGTGCTTCGCGGGGATCAATCAACTGCATCAAATGAGCATGGCGTTTGCGCCAGGAAAGTTCCTTTTGGACCGCTTTTGTCGCTTTCAACCTTCTTGGGGTTTGTTGTTTCTGAATGATTTCAAGGTGGCCTTTGCGTCTCTCAAAGCGGATGGGCCACCCCGAGTTCGGAAACGACAGCTAGCGCCAGAGATGGCATGTGGAGGTCCAAGCTTCCGTTCTTTTCGCCCAGCGAGTCTGGAGTCGTCTTCTGACAGGGAAAGCTGGCCGGTTGAGATTTGATCGACCTTCGCAGGCTTAGCCGGAAATCACCGAATTTCCAAGTGAACAGATGTGGGCAAACTATGACCTGCTTTCAGAGGGGGACAGATGCCTTCCGCGTTGTGGGTTGGGGAAACGAACCGCGTTTTATAGGTATGTGTGAAAATATGGGGGACCCAACAAACGGTGGTTTTTCTTTTGATCTCCCTTTAAAGGTGAAAAGCGTGCCTCCACGCACACACAGGGACTTCCTCATGGCTCAGTTTTGTGCCGCCAAAACCGCCGCCAGGTTTAGCTTTTGCCTGGGCATGAAGGGCCCTAGCATCGCGGTGGATGCGGAGGCTCCCACGGGTCTTGTGGGAACCTCTCAGCGTGTGGGTCCTCATTCCGCAAATGCATTTGTTGACCAGCACGTGCTGTGGTTTCACTGTAAAACGAGAGGGTTCACGCTCCCAGTTTGGCTACGCCCTCCCATGGCTCATAGCCAGTGGGAGACCGAAGTTTGCCACCCGGGTTGGCCCAATAAGGAGCTTTTTGAAAGCAACTTTGGCATGACGTTTGTTGAATCGCTGGAGAGCGTGATCGCAATATTGCTTCATCAACACGCCTTACCTGCTTCTCTTCAGAGACTTCGGTCACTAGTATGAGCAGCTGCCAGTTCAAAGTAGCTTGAGATACTGTGGATAGTTGCAAAATCCACTTTGCACCAGTTGGTTGCGGTTTATCGACCAGTGTCAAAGTCGGGTTTCTCCCTCCCAACTGGGGTGGATTTGGGCGTGCCTTTTTGAGGGTACCTATTCTGGGGTGGTTTTAAAGGGAAGCCAAACGAAACACCACATTGTTTGAGGCCCAGGTTTGACATATACCCAATTTGTAACCATCCAGGAAAGTTCCAGAAGTTCTGTTGATTGCTACGGGTGGGGGGGGGGGGACGGGGTGCGCAAACACGAACTGAAACGGTTTGGTCAATCGAAATGGGGGAACTCACATGGGTGGCGACTTTTTTCTTTTGTCTTTTACACCTCGCACCCATGCAACGCAATGTCACTTTGGGACTATGAATCTGCGAATGAGCTTTTTTGGGTTTCTCTTGAAAACCATCCCAAAAAGGCTGCCCTCCAAAAATGCTGCCCTCCAAAAATGCTGCCCTCCAAAAATGCACGACCAAAGAGGACCAAAGTCATGTTACTGTTCTTGAAGTGGCAGCTGGTCAAAGGACTGAGTGTCTACGGCTGCAATTTCCAAAAGACAGATCAACCAATGGCTCATGAGCCAGTTGCTACAGTGCTTTCAAAACAACCCAAGCCATGGCAGGAGAACTTCATGCGTGCAATAAACAAAGCCCACAAAAACATCTCCAGGCCAAACAGCCAAACCATTCCACCGACGAGGAGGCGCACATAGCCCTTAAAGCCGTCTCCGGAAACCGGTCCTTGTGCCATGTACGTGTTGGATGGGCGTTGCTCATGAGTTGGAAATCCTTCGGCTTGGTTTCCTTTCCGGCTTCGTTGTGCAAAAAGGGGCTAAAAGGGGACCTTCGGCTTGGTTTCCTTTCCGGCTTCGTTGTGCAAAAAGGGGCTAAAAGGGGACCCCGATTTCAGAAACACCCACATGGACTGTCTCGTTTCGGAACTTGACAGGACGCCTCTGGGCTGCTCTCGCTGCACATGGGCAGCCGCCGCCTCGGTGGAGGGGTTCAGGTTTGACGCAAAATGGGGGGGGTGTCTTCCCCCTAAATTGGTGTTCTGTCTTCTTTTTTTGGGGGTTCCTTTGGCAGCAGCCACAACCCCACAGATTTAATTGTGGGGGGTTTCATTTAAACACAACCCCATAGTTTTTGCTGGTTTCCTCTCCGAAACAAGCCAGAACTATGAGCAGACTACTCGATCGGTTGTTAGCCATCATGATAGGCCTATGATCCATTTGGGGACACGGGGGAACTAAATCGGGGCCTGTTTTTGCCATGCCCTCGTTGGGGAAGTCATGTTGGATGCTGAGGTGAGGCGCTGCACGCCAAGGGCCGCGCCCTGGCCAACGAGTTCTCCCTCTGCGGTGGCATCAAGCGGGGGCCCTGGCAGGGGGGGGGGTCATCAAAAGGTGTGGGTCTTTTCGAGGCTCGGTACCCTAACTTCAAAGGGACCCAAAATTCAGGAAAGCGGGCGCTCAAATTGCGTGTGCTGGTGTCAGGCGGGCGTCTTCAAAAGCGTCGGTTCAAGCATGACAATCCACATTTGGTTAGGAAGGTCACACGTACCAGGATACCTTGCTCTGATTTTGCGTTGTGGCTATGAGTTCTGGAAGCCCTTCAAGCGCTTGACTGGTGCATTGCCAGACTTATCCTACCCTTTTAGCCTTCTTGCTTTGGGGCTTCCACCGCGCTCCCGTGGAGCCAGCGTTCGCGGCATGTCACGAGGCTGAACCTCGCATTCTTCTTCTGGCCGCAGCGGCAGGCCGCAGGCGCCAACGGCCTGCGATCGATGATCACGGGCGGACTTGGTGTCCTTCTTCAAATGAACCTTTTGCATTTGGGTCTACTTTTGCTTGACGCACCTGGTGAGATCTTTGGGTGAGGTTGGTCCTGGAGCTTCGGGTGGCGGGAGCCTGGGGAGATGGGCTTGCTCTTTCTTCGATAGATTTGAGAAAGGACCCTGCCAAAGGAGCCGGAAGAGTCATGGTTGGCCCGCCCGACCTAGCGCATTTGAATTGGGGGTTGGTCATGAAGGTGGGGTACTCTGGAGGGCTACCTGCCCGTGACGATCCCACTGCACCCGCCTGCCTCAAAGCGACGTTTTGCGAGGTGGACCATGGCCTCACGCGAGGTTCGGTCATGTTCGCAGTCCACGGTCCATTTGGGAGGGACATGGGAGACATGCGCGGAGTTTTGCACAACGCCAGGGGACGAGCCCTAAATATCCCATGTCCTTCCTTCGCGTATATGGGTATGAGTCAAAATGAAAGCACCAGGGGACCGCAGGTTTTAGTCCTTGGCTCCATTTACCAGGGTTCCATCTTGGGCACCTATCTTTGACCCACAGCCATATTTGGACTCGGGTTGGCTTTCGCGAGGCTGGCTGTCCAAAGTCGGCCGGTGCCAAACCTTTGATCAAAGCGCCGACGGCTGGGTCCACGGGGACGCGGCGGTGAATGTGGTTGTGAAGCCGCCACTTGGCAGAACTCGAGTCAGGCACTTAGCGTTTTATTCCGAAGCTAACTCACCTTGCAGCGGCCCTTTTGTTGAAGTTTAAAACTACCAAACATGAAAGATTTGGGACAACTGTTTTAATCACATGTACCCCAAAAAGACGTCACCAAACAGGAGATGCCTCCAATAAAGAGCGTTTTTGGTGTTTGATTTTCAGGAGTGTACTGAAGACCCCTTCTCTCCCGTAATCCTGGAAGTTGACGCGGGGGTTTGGGGGGTGTAATTATTGGCAAATAGGGCCGAACTGTCCAATTCTGTGATTGCCTTTTGCAGCAGTCAAGGTGACCTCACCAGAGAGTAGCACAACAAACAAGCCTGTTTGGGGGTTGGGTAGCGAAGGATTGTCGTGAGAGCCAGAATGCAAGGGATTGTTGGAGGTGGCAGTGCGCTGTTTGTGACATGTTTGCACTGGCAAGGGTTTGGTGGCTGAGTATCTTTGACCTGAGTCTCGCTCTTGCAGCGCCATCTAAAAATATCTGGCCCCAATCAAAGATAGCATGCATTACATTGTGGAGTCGGAAAAGTGGGGGTTGTATATGAAGTAAGATGTAGTTGAGGCCAACAGACCTACTACCAGCAATTGACAACCGCAGTTTGAGAACACTCGCAGGCTTCTGGATTGGATCGGTGTGTTGCATTCAGCCGCTGGGCTGCGTCGAGGTTGTCGGACAACGTGGACGGGCAGCTGAAGGCAACGGTTTTGGGGTTGGAGCTGGGGGTGAGCTTGTGGTGGTTTCCTGTTGCTGTACTCCTTTAACAGGAACTCTCGGCCGAGACGTGAGAAGCTGAGGCGCTGCAACGCCACTTGCGCCCCAGGGGCAGCTGTGGGCGCGAGAGAGACGCCGCGCCAGGTCAAGGAGAGCGAGCCCTACCTGGCTTCGCTGTGCGGCTCGTCCGTGCGGCACACAGGCAAGGGCGGGCTCGCGCGGTCTTTGTTGAGGATGGCCTGCGACGTCAAGTGGGTTTATCCATAACGGATCAGGCTGTCCAATTCATCGGATCAATGGGAGCCCAGGATTAGCCGATGCAAATTGGCGGAAGGAACCCCAAAAAGGGAGTCTGGGACTCAAAAGGAGATTCCTCGACAAATGAGGGACTTCTGGGGTTCATGTTGAGTAGTTGTCCAAGGGAATTAATTTCAAATCGTTCTAGCCCCGCAACGTTGGATTCGTTCGCGCGAAAAGGTGATCCTTTTCGTGTCCAGGTTTTCAGGGCAAGTGAGGAGAGAAGGCAAGGGGAGAGAGTGAGAGCACTATGGGAACATAGACAGACCTCAATTGACTCAAGGGACTCGGTTTGGTTTGCCTTTGTTTCCATTTGCAGCATCTTCTGCTTGTGATAAGGCGGGGTCTTCGGTGCAACCCCGGTACAAATCAGAGCTTGAGCCACACTGAGAGATGCCACGCAGCTAGCCGACTGCTTGCTGACCTGATCTAGGCTTCCTGAAAGACATGTTCGTCCACTGAAAGCGGGGAAGACCGTGGTTCTGGCAGCTTTTTTCGGTGATTCTTGGTGCAAGTGGATCGTTTGCCTGGCCTTTGGTTCACCTTTCCCCAGCTCAATTTGGCTGCGCGCCCGTCGTACGTGGCACCTTGATGCAGGAGCTGCAGTTGCGCCTTGTTAACACTTTTCGGGGACCCAAACCGACAACGACCAGTGGCTCGGTGTGGTTGGGCTGAGAACAGGTCTGAGACCGAACTCCTTTTTGGCTTTCTGGCGGGTAGGTTTCCCACTTTGGGACTATCAAACGCAAAACAAGGGGTTTCGTTCTTTGCTTATGCCGGGGTCAGGTTTTGTACACGTGATTGACTGGCGTGCAAAACAGTCTCCCAAGAGTGTGGATGTAGTCTGAGACATGTTGCAGTATCTTTATTCTTTCACTGGTTGCAACCGTCAAACGCGGGCATTGCCGGCCATCCACGAAGCGCGGAACCCATGCGAAGGCCACGGGGCATCCCTGGCCGCACCGCATGGGCCCACGGAGCAGGAAGTGATCTCTACGGCTCCTCGCCCGGCTTCGGTCGGGGTTCGCATTGCGACCCTCCAAGATTTCTTGGCCTCTTGGTGCCTTCAAATATCAAACACGAGGTGTACAGGAAGTCCCAAGTTGGAGGCATATCTAATTTTTGGGCGGGTTCCCATGCTAAACATCGGCTTTTGGAAAGGCCAATTGCGGTGAGATCCTTTAGGTGATGTTCAAAGGGAGAGGATGATGGCCGGTCTTTGGCTTCGAAGGCCCGGCCTTTTGGAAACCCATTGACGACTGGTCTCGAGAAGCTTCCATGCGGCATATGCAATCATGGGCGCCTGAACTTTTTGTTCCTGATCATCAAAGGCACAAGGTTGGACAGAACGAGCATCTTGCAAACCGACATCATGAGTTGTCCTTTGTACTTGGAGTATGGGAGCTGTTGACGTCACTTATTGCATCCGTTCGATAGGCTGGTCATTCCAGGGTCTCGGAACGACTGGTTCCGGTTGGTCCTTTTGAGGGTTTCTCAAACCTCTCGCCACTTGCCACATGGAAACCCCTTCCTCTTGGACGGAGGAATGCGAGGGTTCTCAGTAGTTCCCCTCCAAACCTTCTGGTTGATCACTCCGCAACCGAAAGGTGAAAGGTGATCTCCAAAAAGGACATCGATAACTTTTCTGTGACGTATGCAACATTCAGAAATTGTTGGACGCTACTGTATGTAATGGGAGCCAAACGGACACTCCTGACAAGGCAGCTTAAGTCTGACCCAACTGCATTCTGTCGGAAATTCTTGGGCGCCGCTGGAAAATCCATGAAGCCCGTTGAACCCAGTTGTATGGATAATGGAGACACCGGGCAATTCACTCAATTGTTGAAAGTAATTCGCAGGGCTGGAAGTTGCTGCAAACAAGAAATGCTGGTAGTGATGCCGATCATCCATGTTGATGATGCAAGTGATGCAAGTGATGCTTGTAATGTTGGTGATGTTAGTAATGGATGATGCTGGTTGTGCTGGCAGCGTTTGATGGATATGCTAGAGATGTTGGTTGGCGATGCAAGGGATGCACTTTGAAAGCAACCCACAACAGGCAGCTTCAATTTCGCCCTTCTCTTTGAGCCACCATCCGGCTGCCTGCCGTTGAACTGAGGCGGTCTATGCCGCAGGCCTCACAGGCTGACGTGGGCAGTTGAGTTGACCGCACCCGCTCCCGTGGCCCTATCGATGCATGAGCGTTCTTTTTTCTTCAGGGGACCTTTTCTTTTGGGATCCTTTTAGAAAAACCAACCTGAAACGATATCAGCGTTGGACGCCAACTCTCAACTCTCGCTTGTTTATCAAAGGTTGTGGTCAACAAACCTGTTTGGGTTGGGACTCAAGTCTAGTAATGGTCACAGGAGGCTTTTTGAGCATCACTCACTCACACATGGATGACATAGGATCCCTGAAACCGCGTTGGTCTCTTGCCGAATTCCCATGTTGGTAAGGACCACGTACAATTGCAGGGACCCTTCTGGATTCTCCAAAAGGAAGCCAGCATGAAACGCAGCATACACAGGCAAACCCTTTGACATCTGTTCAGTACTCAAATACCAATCGCTTGAATGCCATGATAACAACCTGCTCATTTCTGGCTTACATGTATGGAACTGCCATGAAGGTGGTCCGTTGCCCTCAACATTGCGGATCTGGGAATTTAGGTCAACTTCCATGTTGCAGAGGTCCTCACGCCCCCTGGGACTTTTCCGAAAACTTGCGGTCCAAAGCGTGCGACCAGCGGTACTCCCTCAGCGGTGTTTGGAGGTGAGCATGTCTCCAAACTAGGCGTGTTCCGGCGGCAAAGAGACATGACTGAAGATGTGTTGACTACCCTTCCACCCATCGAGACTTGTTTCTTTCTTTCAGGAACAAACTCAACAAGCATGCACTCGTTGAGAAGGGTGGATACCTCATTCCAAGAACTGCAGGCATGATAGTTGAAGGTATTGAGCGTGCCACCTATGTGAGGAGTATATTAAGATGCTCCCATTTGTTTTACAAGGGCTAAATACGTGGTTCCCTGCTCAATTAGGTGAGCCTTGTGTAGCCAGCAGGATACTGCTTTCATCGCAGGCATGGACATTGACGCCACGGAGAACTACGGCATCGCCAACATGCTTGCGGACCCCGTGGAGGCTCTCCTTCTCTCTCTTTCTCTCTCTCTTTCTTTCGCTTTCTCTCTTTCTCCCGATCTCTTTCTTCATGTCTCTCTCCATCTCTCTGTTCATCTCTTTCTCCATCTCTTCTTTTCTCTCTCTCTCTCTCTATCTTTCATGCTCTGCTCGCAAAGCTTGGGACCACCACAGAGGCGCCGACATTCGAGAGATTCGGTCGCCGTTCGCGAGGTGAACTCCTGCTCAAGAGTCAGCGGCTCAGAACCTTGAGCTCATGGCTCCTCGTGACTCGTGGGGGGCGTGAAAGGGACTTTTGGGGCCATTCACGGACTTCGGTTTTTGCCCTACCAGAAGTCGGTACAACATGCGAGGGGCCAGAGAAGTACTTGGAGTGCAAGTGTATCAAATTGTCTTTCTTGACATGCTTTCCGGATGTCCAACTTGCGGTAGCTGATGTGGCAGAAGCTGTCCCTCCCAGCCCATACGTTTTGCCAGTCGAGCTTGCAGCTGGTCACATTTTGACTGCATGCTAGGACCGGGTATCGTTACTGTGTGCGAGGGCTTCCATGACCGCCGCTCCGTCAAAACCTGTGTGTGTTTCGGGTTCCACGATGACGGCTAGCCTGCGTGCAGGACGGATATGTTTGGTATTCATGTTGTGGGTAATCTTGCAAGGCCATGTGAAGTGCCTAGTATGGCATTCGACCATCGAGTAACCTTTGTTGTCTGTCATGAGTGACTCGTGCTACCCCCCAGCGCGACCTGTTTGGTCGCGATGCAGTTTTGAATCTCCTTTGGCTGCGTGCCACAAGTAGTTGGACCCATTCCTGGCTGGTTTCGTGTTGGTTCCTTCTAGAACTGTCCTGACATCTGCATTGCATGAAGAAATCTAGTCGCTGAACGCCTCTCACTGCCCACTCTAATTCTTGCATATGACCTAAAGATGTAGCCTACGTTGCCAACCTACATTCGAACGCTTCGGAGCAGCCTGCTCAACCTCTCAAGCACCGTGGGTTCCTGAAATACACCAAGTTCATTTGCAGCGATAGTTTGCACAAATTCTAGCAACCTTGGGGGGCCAATGGCCTCAGCTATGCTTCAGGTTGATGCATTCTCCTTCTTTCAGCAGTCATGGAAGTGGGCAGGGGCCCTTTTGGAGGATGACAATCTTCCCGGTCCACTTCCACAATTGTTAGAAAGAGATCGTCAGAATTCACCCAGACGTAGTTGCGGCAAGGTCCTGCGCCTGGCAGATGATGACGATGCGCCGCTGCTGATGCGGGCGCGGAGCTTGGGGAGCTCTTGGACTTGGACTTGTCACTTTATGCCCGGCCATTTTGGGAGGTTTTCAACTAGTCAGCTCACTCATCCAGGATATATTATTGAGATTTGACAGTGTTTGTGTAGCCTTCCTAGGCAAACACAACAGCCGTTGCAAGGCCTTTCAGCACAACGGCGTTCACACATGAATCGTTGATTATCACAGTTTCTTGTGATGGTTTCTGGAGCGGTATGTGTGGATGGTCTTTAGCCTGAACCGAACCAACCACTCTGACACTTCCTGTTTGCAAATCATGCCCGATTCAGTGGACCTGACAGGGCACCCAAATCCCCTTTCTTTGGTGGATAGTGGTCGACCCGGGTTTAGAGGTGGTTCAAAGAGAAACCCGGTTCGGCTGGTTTAGCGAGAAAATGAGTCTCCTGACCCGACGAGATCCACGTTGTCATGCCGCTTCCTTTTTAGATCTACTTTCGTGGCGCCGTGCCACCTTTAAAGGGACTAAAAAGCGTCACTAATTTTGACCCCCCCCCCCCCCCAAGAGGATTTCCTAAGGAATGCTTTGGTGAATGGAAGGCTCAAAGCGGGGGACCGCCGTTGGTTGGCAGAGGATTCTCCTTTCTGAAAGGTGCCACACGAGCTATTTTTAAGGCGACGACTCCCGATATGGGCTTCGCACATCTCAGTTGTCTTTAAACTTGGTTTAGTACTTATAGTATTCCTTTGAGCTGACAGAGTACTGGTTGGAATTGCTGTATACTGGCTCAGTGGTTGAGTATTGGTTTCTAAGGTTAGATTTGGTTTAGTGTGTCTTTTGCACTAAACCAGATATGTTTGTTTTAACAATTTCTTATTCCCTTCCCGGGCCCCTTGAACATCTGTTTGGGAAGCTGTTTGAGTAAATGTTGTCATACATAATTTGGCAGTTCAGTTTTGCTGGCTTAGGTTTAGCTTGGGATAGTATTGGTTCGTATTGGTCTACTATTCGTTTCTATTAGTTTAGTACACGTTTACTATTCCTTTGTACTGAACAATATGTTTTTCTCTCAATGCTGCCCTGTACCACGCCCTTGGACACCTTTGCACTGGCCCCCTTATATTTTTCTCTTAATGCTGCCCTGTACCACCCCCTTGGAAATTTGTCTGGGAAGTTGTTTAGCAATGGAGGTCATGAATAATTTGGCTGTTCGGCTTTGGATTGGTTATATAAATATTGGTTTAGTCTAGTGTTGGCTTAGTAGTAGATTGTGTTGGTTTAGTATTGGTTTCTGTTAGTTTAGCATAGGGCTGGGGATCAGTTTTTGTTTTTCTCCAGCGGTCGGGCAGCCATTTTTTTCACCGAAAGACAACTTTCTGTATTCCCTACCCTTCTTTCCTTTCACAGAAATGAATGATATTGGGAAATTTCTTTGTATCACATACTGATGTATTATTCGTTACCCGACATTGCTGCTGCCCCTCCTTTGATTGATAACTGGGGGCCAACAACCATGGTCAAGATTATGTGTGCCATGGTGGAAGGATTATGTGTGCCTTGCTTGGGATTAGGGATGGTCGTGAACCCTGTCCTAGCATTTTAGACAACAATTGCCAGGATTCCCGAGGGAGCCATGACCATGACCCACAACTCGCCGGAGTTTTGACCATGGCACGCGTGAAAAACATGGAGTTGCGTCCTTCAATTCCCATGAAGCCCTTGGCCATTTGAGCAGGTGCTTCTAGCTGGTTGAGTTTGGGTTTTTAGCAAGGCCTACATGCAATATGATCAAAAGGGCCTTGTCATGGGATGACCCTTGGCGAAACCAAAACCATCAACCAAAATCACATTTCCCACAAAACGGGACAACTTACGCATGGTGAGTTGGGGGCCGAACAGAAAACCGGTCAACCCCCACAGAGCTCTCCACCCTTTGGAGCCGTGCGCCGACGTGAAACACGGCCTTCAGGCCTCCAAGACCTCGGTGGGCAATGCGCTCCACGCGGGGAGCGCGCTGTCCTTGATGCAGGCCATCCTCACCAGTGCGCCTTGGCCCTTTTGAGCTTTGGGACAGATGGCTCTGGTTGTCACAACCAATGGGATCCCATGTTTGGGGTAGGTGCACCACCCATTTTAGTCTATTTTTGTGGGGATTGGGATGTTCACTGGGGGTACGGGGCTTTGACCCATGGCCAAATGGCTTATGGTTGGACAGAGGGAAACATGTTGTTTTTTTTTGGTTGGGGGTTCTCTGTTTTGAGATTTCGCGATGTATTTTTGATGGGTCCACCGAAGGGTCCCAAGAAATTCATGTCCAGCATCAGCCGCTCGTAGTGAAAAACCCTGGAAACAGGCGACCAGCCCAATGCTGGGTGATGTTTGGTTTCTAGGTTGCTTGTGCAGTGAGTTCACCTGATTTGCAACCACTTGCAGACGATCACAGTCTGTGGGTTCTAATTAGGCCTCTTTGTACAGGGCTCCTTAAAAGATACATTTTGCCCATTTGAAACATGGTTTTTCCACCAACATAAAGGGACACCACCATTTACAAGGCAATGTTCAGGTGTATAGTGTAAGGATCCCTGTTGTAGGGGCTATGAGAACTCTATGATGAGGGGAAGCTGTTGAGCATTCTGCGTGCTAAAGTGGCCCAGGAAACCAGGCCATGGATTCATTCATCTACATGCCGCCATGTACCCTACTTATACAGGATGTATGGCACCGGTCCTTTTTTTTTCATAATGAAGCTCAAAGGCCGGGCATCCAGCGACTTGGCTGGTTGACAGCTAGTTTCAAAAACGGGACTGGGGAGGTGACCTCCTCCCGAGGCTTCGGCAAGAGCACCAAAGGGGATCTAGGTGACGCCGCCCACTGTATCTATATTGGCATTCCTTGTATCTATATTGCTTTTTTTCGGGTTCAAGAAGGGCACACTGAATCATTGTTCAGTTGGCGGTCAATCATTGCAGGACTTTCAACGGGCTGCTCTATATTTCCCTTTTGGTGGCTTTGAATATCAACTCCTGGCTGCTTTTAAAGTGATTTTCTTTGGACGGGATGATGCTTAAGGGCGAAATCTAGGAAGACTTGTTCAGATCATTGATCATGGCCTTGGCAATCCCAGTTTGGTATCACAAGGTTTCCCACAACCATGAACTGGCTCCGATGGGGTTCTTCGGCCACTTTTGCCCTCAAGGTGGCCGGCAGCATCGCTCCGAACCTGCACTTGTTGCAGTCCAACCCCCACCTGGACAGGGTGAAAAAAAGACGAACACTGGCCGGAGAGCCACATCCAAGTTTGAAACAGGCAGAATTGGGAAACGGACAGCCATGCCGGAACTCCCTTTTTCCAAGGGAATCAAGACACTGGTTGAGCAATGAACAGATGGAAGCGGCCCAGTCCGGGTTAATAGGGCCAGCTCGACACACCACCCAACCAAGCGTGATGAGCTTTGCTTGATGGAAGCGTGACAGTAGGGGCCAGCAAATGAGCTCCTGTTGTCGTTTTGGGTCTCACCTAGTCAAGCCCTCACTTCACTTTCGGTTGCCTTTACGAGGAAGCCACGAGTAGAAGCAAATCCAATTTGGCCCCAACAGAAGACATGCTGGCTTGGCTCACTTGGAGCCCGACTCAGCTCCGTGCAACTTGGAGCCACGATTGTTCATGCAACATTGGGGAATCGCATGAACGTTGAACAAACATCTACATGGATCTACGTGCACAGCTACAAGACATGCTTCCTTGTAGAGACGCGGCTCACCATCTCAACTCGCACTTTTCCAGAGCCTCGCATTGGGAGCCCAGAAGCCATTGATATCTGAGCCTTCCCAGGGCAGTGTTGCGAGAGTCTCATACTTATGACATGATGCTGTAAAGACGCGTGGGTTATGTTTGAATCTTGGCATCCTCTTTGTCAACTTGGGAACCAGTGTGCTTTGGTGGGTATCCGATGTTTCTGGTTCTGGGGCCATCCTACATTGCCTCTTTTTGTGTGCGGGGTGTGGGGGTGGAGGGGTTATTCGAACACGAAGTCCATGGGTGAAATCGGGCGCTGCGCATTTGCTTAGCTTTCTTTGTTTGTCTCGCAAGGCTCTTGCCTGTTTCAGGATGTGGGGCAGCTGCCGCTGGGGATTGTGACAGAGGCGGGACGATGGGGAACGAAACAATTACTCTGGGCAGGGGTCCCTATACTTTCCCTCTCACCAACACAGCACCTGTGGGAAGGTACCTAAAAGATCAATTTCTTCTTAACGCGACCTTTTGTCAGGTGCCATGTTTGTGGGCGGGAGGGTAATTCCCTTTTTGGTGGTTCGAAGCATCACCTTGTGGGCCCCTGGAAGGTGAGTTTCCTCTGGAAGGACTGATGTTTTAAGGGGGACAGGGAGGTCTATTGGTGTCGCCTTTTTGAGGAGGAGGGGGCAAACACATATTTATGTTTGCGCTCACGCCACCTTGGCCTGTCTTTCTTTTCTCCTGGGTTTTGATGCCACGGGTCGTTGTGGCTTGGGATACCCACCCCAAAAAAATGGAACCAATGCAGGAGGGGGTGACAGCCGGTCATGTCTTGAGAGTAGGCTCCTTTAGCACCACTTGGACACCTGGATGTTCGACCTGCTCACTAGGCTACAACCCTGGCTTTCAGTGAGTGGGACAGCCGAGGGGGTGGTGGACATGGCTAGGGGTTCCACCAAAATCATGTTATATTTTTGGGAGCAATACTAACCTACCCTACACCCACACTAAACCAGCACCGGCCCTAAACTTGAAACCACCCCAACCTACCCTAAACCTAACCTACCTTGAATTTGGCTTGACTCCCCGTAAACCCTAAACGCGACCTGAACCCACTCTAAACACCCCAAACCACCCGAAACCCACCCTAAAGCCATGAACTCAACAAACCCCACTCTAAATCCACCCTAAACCAAGCCGAAACCAATCTCAGACCACCTTAAACCCACCTCAACCCACCCTGAACCCACCCCCCAAACCACCCTAAGCCCACCACCCTAAATGCACCTTAAACCAACCCTAAACGCAACCTTGAAATTTCATTTCTGGTTCTATTTTCCTCACGGCCCAAACCACCCAACCCCCGTCTCCCTTATATAAGGTAGGAGCACCATGGCCATGATTCTCGATGGTTGGAACCTCCTCAAAAATGGCGGGTGAACATAAACAAAGCCATGTTTTTATGATGTCCGCCAAACTATCCCAATCAACATCATACCCGTCTGTTCCCCACTACAAATTGTCCCCCAAAAGTGAGGTGCTTTGTTTCCCATTCTTCGGAGGACTGGTTGCAGGGACCATGTCTCTGGGCAACAAGGAGCTCCAGGGGAAGGTCCCTGAATTCTAGCAACTCGCCCGGAAATATAGAAGCCCTTGATATGAACCCCGAGTTTCTTGCTTCTTTTTATGGGCAACCAGCCACCCGCCACCGGCGGGAGCCAGGTGGTGCCGTACCGCATGACCAGCACCTTCGTGAACTCCTTCGCCCGGGGCTTCGGGGGGACCAACGTGTCCATGGTCAGCTTTGCTGCCAAGGCCCGGAAAGAACTGGTACCGCGAACCCGCGGTCTGGGAGGGGAAGCCGGCGTGCGGTTCGGCTTTTTGAAAAGCTGCCTTTATTTTTTTTCTTCTTCTTTTTTTCTGGACAAATGACGGCGCGAGGGAGCGTTGCGGTCTCAAAGGTTGATTTCACTGAAGGTATGCAGGTCAGGATTCCCTGCAGGACGCTCCAAATAAAGAGTGTCCCCCGTGTTTGGGTGTGACTGTAGCCGGGTCCCAGCAAGAAGTTGTGGTGGCCTCAACATTTCTGGCGCCTTGTGGGTTCGACTTCTAATCAGGGAAAACTACGCAACGGGTACCCACGGATCCCAGCAAAACAGGACCGAACCCTGCGCAGTTTGGGGAACTCCCTTTGAGTATCAAGTGTATTCCAAACCAATTCTTTGAGAATGCAACTTCGAAATCATTCTGAAACCCATTGTTTGTGCGACCAACCAACTTTGAGGGCACAACTCAACACCCCTTTTGACCGACGTCGGACGGATTGAGAGGACGTGAAGCAGCTGCCGGAGCCCAGCGCGCCCATGCCGCTGAGCGACCAGCTCGTCTACTGGCCCGGCGGAGGTGTGTGGGGACTGGTCGACCTATCCCTGTTGCTCAAAACAGACGCCCCTTTGGTTGGCATGAGAAGGGAGACCAAAAGGACACCAATAAGTTTTCGGTTGGACGGATTCCTGTGAGGAACCTCCAGGGAGGCCCAGACCTGTCGTCTTGAAAGGAGTTGCCCACTTCGATCTGACCCGTTCCTTGGTTTCCAGCGGTGTTTGTCGTTTCGCCAAGCTTTTCGGCAGGCGGCAAAACAGACACTGCGTCGATGCCAGAGAAGAGCTTTGACATCGCAGGCGCTTTGGGCGGGTGTATCGCAGCGGAGACAATTCCGACAGTACAGCACGAGGGCAGCTCGCAACCGAACCATGGCAGCTGTGGGCATTGCAGTCCTTGCTCACCTTTCGGGCGTTTTTGAGGCACCTTCTCTGAGTGGCAGCCGGAGCCCATGACGAAGGAGCCGCGATACGCATGGGGTGAAAGCGAGCGCGCCATGGGGCGAAGTCTTTGGCCCTCATTTCAGGCCAATGAACAAGTACATGATTCATGCAGATGAAGGAGGGGAAACTGGGGTCTCCTCCATTTTTTTAACTTTAGGGTAGACTAAAGATTGAGCAGATTCAGAAAAAGACAAATGTTTTTTGTGCACGAGAGATGTGTGCGCGGCCAAAGAATGAACACCAGAACCTTACACCAGGGTGAAAGTAGATGGCACAATTCCTGGACTGCAAAGTTTTTGGCGTGTGCTTCTGTTTCCTAATAGCTGAAAGCTATGGGGTTTCTGCCCGGACACTGTCCGGAGGGGTTCGGATCGGCTCTGGAGGCGTCATAGGTAAAATGGTGGTTTTGGTTGCGGAACTGTGGCAAGCATGCGATTCACGGATTCATTACCCTCCACCGTAGGAATGTTTCATCATGGCTTGCGTTCTGCAATGTAAGCATCCCCTGTCCATGTGGGCACAGCAAGTAGATGACGTCTAGATTCGTGGGGCTCGCTCATTTCTGGTCGGCTTATTGAACTTCAGCCAAGTACTGTGAGACACCTAAGTTTACATCGTAGGAGCACACGTTTGAGTTCCCAAAAACCCAAAAGGGTCGCGTAAAGATTTAAGAGGTGCTTCTGCTACCTGATCGACTAGGTCTTATAGCAAGCACGATAGAAACCTCTGTAACTAACTATCATAGTAGAAGCAAAAATCAGTGGGTGTCGGGCGAACATTTGTCCCTGCTGCGCTGAATCGCGAAGGAGTCGGAAGGTGTCTACAGCTACGTAGTGACCTTGGGGGAGAACAGGTGGGGGCCGACTGAGTCCGAACCCTCGTACCGTCAGAGCATAGAACACGGAGGTTTCGTCAGATTTTGGAAAAGTCTATGATCAATTTGGGTGATTAGGAGCCTGCCCTCCCCCAATGGTTGGTTGGCTTGAGCTTAGGAGGTTACTTTTTGGTTGGCTAGGGTGTAGACTTGGTTTAAGATTTGCTTGGGCTTTGTTTGGGTTCGGTTCTAGATCAGTTTTGGGTTGTGTCAGGGCTTGCCCAACAGGGGCTAGGGGCTGGATTAAGGTGAGTGTGGGAAAGCTGGGATTGTTTGAGAGGTGGTGTAGAGGGGTTGCATGGTGGTTGCGCAGCTAGGCCGAGGTTGCAGGGTCTAGTGAAGGTCATTTTAGGTTTGGCAGAAGCTTACAGGGTGCTCAGGGTGCCAACAAGGGCAGGGCTGGTGCAGGGGATGCCAGGGGATGCCAGGGATACTCTGGATGCTGAGGATTGGCGCCAGGTCACCCAACAATTTGAATCCGGATCATACATGTACAACAAATGAGAGGTTTTACAGGGTTGCAATGGAGAGATGTCTGACCTGGTGTCAAGTTTTCGCCTTTTCTGGGCTCCAGCGGTCGGCCCAAGGTAGGCTGTATGGACCGCTTTGGACTCGAAAGGATGACATGCGTTTGTGTGAAAATAGCGGAATCCGGGGAACCCGGAAAATGGGTGTTGTTTTTTTGGTTTCTGTTTGAAATTGCCCCCGAACGGAAAGGGGTACCCCAAAAATACATACAAGCCCACATCCAACAACTTTCAGATCTTTGCCGCAGGTGGGAGCAGTTTCAGATCTGGCTGGATGGGGACCCCACGAGGCGCGCTGGCACATCCCTAAGGCCCTTGGCTGGGACTGGGGGAGGTTCTTACAGGATCTATCAGCAGTACCAGTGAGATAACGGCACCCAACTGCGCCGAGAAAACATGCTGGCTATGCAGATGCGTGTTTTCCTGCTACGGATTGACCTGTTCAGACAGATGGATCGGCTATGGATCGGCCACTGAGTTCGCAAGTCTTTGGGCTGGGCACCGCCCTATGACTAGTTGATTCATCCAGGTGGCTCCCTACAAGGAACGGAATCGCCACTTCAGGTTTGGGTATGTATCAACATAGGGGGCCAAAACAAGGTTTTCCTTTTGATTTCTCTTCAATCCAACATGCAAAGGGTACCCTCAAGAAGCACATGCTCGTCTACAATGCCCCGATCCGCTTTTGGGAGGCTTTCCACAGTTCCACAGCGGTTCAGAAAATGGCATGCTTCTGGGCATACAAGGGATTGGTTTCAGAATAGTGGACCCTCAAGAAGGGCTGATTCCTTTTTCAACCAACCCTCAACTCCCAAAGGACGCATCCATGTTGGCCCTGAGAATTGAGCTTCAAACTCACACGCCTTCCTAGCTGCTGTCAAAATTAGAGGCCCTTTTGGTATCCCCTGCACCTTGAGCGGCTCCGAAACAGGTCCAACAGCGAACTGGCCATATTGTTGACAACCCCCCACCCCCCGTCCACTATCTCCAAACCACCGTGACCCGGAGGGCCGTAGGATATACGGTGGCTCTTTCTAGCGGTTGTATATCTCATGTGCAGTCGTATCGTATGTGGCTGCTTCTGAAGTGGTTCATGTGGTTGTATATCCCAAAACCCCATGGGGTAGCTTCGGTTTGCCCAGGTGCCTTTGCCCGGAGCAGCACAAGGCTGGCTCCAAGAGCGGCGTGCATGGGCCTGCGGTTAGCCCGCCGAGCGGGGTGCCCAAGGTAGACATGAATGTCTTATGATGGCTTAGCTTTGTTTAAGAAGTGTTGACTTACCTGAAGGCTTGGCGGAGGCACTGGCGATGCTGGTGATGCTGATGATGCTGGTAACTGCTGATGCTGCTGATGCTGCTGATGCTGCTAGCATGCAGGTGATGGTGATAGGTTCTTAAGTGGCGCGCGATACAACAAGAAGAAAAAACGAAAAACAAATCCATTGCTAACAACCCAAGAGCCTGCAGCTGCTGATGTAACATGTGCATCAATATGACCCTAAACCGAACCGTTTGGCTAAATCTGCCCAGCCATCAGCACCACTAGCAGGACCAGCATCATCACCATCGAGACTAGCATCATCACCATCATCGTCATCGTCATCGTCATCGTCATCGTCATCGTCATCGTCATCGTCATCATCATCATCATCATCATCATCATCATCATCATCATCATCATCATCATCATCATGAGCACCGCAGCATCACCATCATCAGCATCATGACACGGGCATCATGAGCGAACATTTGTCAATGGTGGGGCCACCCCCGGTGGCTAAGCGTGACCAAGCTTCAGCAAAGATAATGCAGGGAACACTGAGCAGCAAATGACTTTGAGCACATGGGTGTATTCGAAGCTCTGCCTCAGGTGAAAGCGTCTCGCGAAGTTGCCTGCGAAAGGTGTAACCAGAGCCGAGGGCAATTGGATGGGAAAACCTATTGCAATCCTTGAGTTGTCGTAGATGCATGTTTAGTTTACTTGGTTTGCTCTTCCATGCGGAAAGTTGGAGCCGGAGCCAAGAACTTTGGAGGATTAGTGCTGTTGCTGATGCTGCTGCTGCCACTCTTGCTGTTCTCGCTGTTCCCAAGAAAGTGCTCTGGAACCCCTCTAAAAGTGGGCCACAGTTTGTGATTGAAGGAGTTGGCTCCCATGATCACATTCTTTCCGTGGGTGAAACCAAAGGATGCAGAGATCAGGTCAACAAAAATCCTCAGGCCTCCCCCCCCCAAGGGAGCCCAGAGATGTCAACTCCATCTCTAGGCTGCTGGCTGCTGGAGGGCCGGCCCCAGGGAGAGCTGCGGCTCCGCGCCAAGGCAGGTTTCAGGGTGTCCCATCCCTTTTTGGAGTCATGAATAAGGGGAAACAAAACCGGACACCCCATTTAATTTCGAGGGCTCTCCTGTTGTGAAACTGACAACATATTTCCACTTTGATTGTTTAAGTGTTTAAGTGTCACTTTTAGGCTTCCAAATTGAGGTGAGTTTCCTTTCGGGGTGATGTGTAGGGAATGTGCTGTAGGTACTTATGCTTAAGATTCAACAGATTGGGTGAACCAACACCCTGGAGGCCAAACAACATGGAGGTTTGACTTGCTGTTGGTTTGCCCTTTAAAGGCGCTTCTGTAGATGGTCTGGGAGTGCGGCAAATCGTCCCTAGTCGACATGAACCTTTTGCCCTTTGGAGTGTCCCTTCTTGTTTAGTTCAGCAAAAGTTGAGTCTTTACACTTCGCAGGGAGTCTAAGCATGTCCCGCTAAAGTAGTTGCTTTTTGAGGGTTTTTAATTTTGGAGTACCTATTTTGGAAAGGGCTCAATTCTGGGCAAGCCGCTTTCAAATTACTTTTGGGCTGGTTTGCCCTCTAAACATGTCGTTTGAATGGACCTGGTCGGTTAAGGTTTGACCAACATTTCCGTTAGTGCATTGTCAGCTTGGGGGGGCATGGGCGGGCGAGACTCCAAGTTCCCATGTTCATTTTGACCGTGGCTCGCTTGAAAATGTGTGTCAACGAATGGGGCACCCTTGCGGCATGTGGACGAAAGCCAAAAGGCGACCGGCTGTTCCTGTTGGGGAGTGATGCGCACGGGATATGACGGCCTGTTTTGTATTCAGCAACGCTCAGTCTCGCGGACTGCGGTCATGGGTTGACAAGCAACCTATGCAACAATGTCAACTTGTGGCCAGTGCTTCCAGCAGCAACTTGTTGTCTAAGAAGGTCCTTTGCCCCCCTTTTGGTGGCTTTAATCGTCGCTTTGTTGGTTCCTATCTTGAATTGAGATTTCCAGAGGTGTTCTCGAAAACATTTATGGACCCCTCTCCCCCCAAATTTGGGCGACCTGCGCCCGTCGGGAGCCACCCCCCCCGCGCGCCTTGCGCCTTTGGAGGGCGACCGCACGGAGGAGGTGCCGAAGGGCCAGGGCCTGGCGGGGTCCAAGTGGCGGGTGCGGCTCTGCATCGCCGGGCCGGGGGCCCCCGGGGTGCGTCGTTGGGGTGTCGGGGGAGCGTCGAGGTCTGGGTGTGGTTGACATGGAATTTTAAAAATCCCGCTGTATGACAAGTGGAAAAGCCAGAGTTGGATGGGAATCTCACTGTATCACAGAAAGGCGCAACCATGGTTCAGAGGAATCCCAGCACTCTGTTGGGTTCCAGGACAGTAGATGGGAGGGGAAATGTGAGGTAAACAAGCCTTCAACTAGTGACTAGTGCCCGTAGCCTCTGGCAAGCTGTGGGCGACAGGCAAATGGAACCGTGAGGGTTTCGATTGACCGAATTGGGGTCCATGAGGAGGGGATTTGGCTCCTTTCCCCTGCGGGGGTCCATTTCTTACTTCAGGTTGGCGAATGATTCACCCCGATGGGCAGCTGACTTGTTGAACACCATCCGTTCGAACTCTTAACCTTTGCTAGTCTTGAATGGCCGGGTCCGAACAAACGTTACTTCCAATCCCCGGGCACTTGAACCGGCGCAGAGGTTCGGCTGTTCCAAAGCGTTCCAGAAAAAGAGCTGAGCTGAGCCAGAAATCAGCTGGCGGATTTGGATCAGCTTCTGCGATCAGACAGGCATAAATAATCACATACCCTTGACGCGTTTCCCGTTGAATACCTGCTGCGTTCTGCGTGTTTGAGAAATTTACGAACACACCGTTCAATGAGGTTTTGGCTTTGGACTGTTTGTAGGACTTCCTTTTTCGGCCAAAGCCCAGAGAGTTCAATCTTGCTTTCTCGCAGCATGCCTCCCAGGCGCCAGCCCCAAATCTGAATCGCTGCTAGCCCCCAGAGTCCTTCCTTCCTCTCGAGATGCGAAATAGAAAGTGGCACACACACACACACAAGACAGGAAGGACGGTCTCCACGGCCGCCTCCAAACAAGAAACCAGGGAAAGATTGAGGAGCATTTCCATGGTTCAATCCCTCATCATCATCCAAATAGTGTCCCTGAAAGGAAGACAAGCCCAAGACCAGAGCCAGCGGTAAGCGAGAGGGGTCCATCCAACACAGAGACACACACACACACACACACAAACACTTCATTTCCAGTTGAAGCCTTCAGTTTAATGCACAAGTACCGAGGAAAACCTATGCCTCGGCAACTACCATTTTACAGGCCCAATTGTCCAACACATAGCAACCTTACTAGGTCATTTTGCAGGAACGCAGTCTCGAACCTTTGACCTGAATAAATAAAACCAATTCAGGATCCCCCATTTCGATTCATTTAAGGTTCTCATCAACGGGCCGAGGTAGGTGAAGAGGTACATGACGACATTCCTTGATCAATTCAATTTGCACTGTTGACTGTTGACCCCGGATTAATGAACCTGGTGATAAATCGGGGGTGTGTTCTACAAGCAAAGAACTCCCACCAGGTTCATCCCCGCTCGCCAGTGGAAATCCCCCAGAGCTATCCGAGCCGTGCGCGTTCTCAGGAAGTGGCGCATGGTGGTGTGGGTCTCAGATGTGCAAGGTTCAACTTGTCTATTGGGTTCAGCATGTTGTTGGGTTCACCCTAAGGGTCCTGATGGATTTTGGGTCTCCAAAACCACTTGTTTTGAGACCCCTAAAGCAACTCGGGGTGTGGTACGGGGACACCCGGGTTCTGCTTACCAAGCCCCAGGACGCTCAGGGCAACCTGGTTATTGACTCAACTTGTTCAGATGGCCGTCAACATAAACCCTTTGGGCTTTGGTCAGTAAGAGGTGGGTCTCAGCTGAAAATGCTCCGAGCCCAAGATGATAAGACTGGGTAGCAAATTGGTCGACGGCATTGGCTTCCCTTTGCCAGGGAGCAAGCTTCTTACCCTTAGGCCAGAAACGTTGGATCAACCTTGCACGGGTTTACTGCCAGCGGGTGGAAGGATGGCTTTGAAGGCTCTGTCTTTCACCAAGCGGCATCTTGAAAGGCCAAACTTGAGATCAAATCCAACTTGCTTTCAACAAGTTGCATGATGTCACATTTGCGTTGGGTTCCATTTCAGTTTTGGCGCATTTGGAGACATTCGCCGCACACCTCCTGCATCCAAAGGTGGCTGAACGAAAGTTTGGAACCGCACACGATCAGCCTTGGAACGGACCGGTTTGATGGGGCGTGAAGTCGGGGTGTGATCCTCATCAGTGGGCAACTCCACACCGGTCATGTCGATCCTCAACAGATTGTCGCCTATGTTTACTCACCTTGTTTACAAGCACGTCTTGAACCAGCTCCTTCGTGTTGGTGCTGCTTTCCTCCTGTTGGGCAATGAGTGCAAGGGAGAGCCCTGTAACCTGCTGGAGGTAAGGCACCCAGCCCAGCCATTCAAAACCTTCTCTGGAGAGTCCCCCTTTTTTTTTGTCTTCTCAAAATTGGGGTCTTAGCAGGCTTTTGGATCCTGTCTGGCCGCGTGCTTGTTTTTGCAAGACGTGGTTTGCCCCTCCAAATGGTTGGTTTCGAGTTGGTCGTCCCTGATCACATGGCAAACTTTGCATCCATTCCATCCCTCGGGCCATAGGAGTGGGAGAAGCTGGACGAGCCCTTGGTGCCTGCGGCCCTTCGGTCGCATTTTGTTTTTCTTTGGGGGTCCTCATTGCCTGGGCGCGCTAAATAGCCAATCGTTTTGGCGTCCCCCCCAAAACGAAGCCAAAAGGACATGGAGGGTTTTTGTTTTTCCACCCCCCTTCCCCTTCCTCCCCCCCCCCCCCCAATATTTAGCACCCAGTTACATCCTCTGGCTAAAAGGGCATGGCGTTTCTTGCCTCTCGATGGCATTGGTTCATTTAGGTTGGAGCCAGGGGTCCGAGACCTATCAGCCAAACACCACTGGCGTCTCAAGTTCCACTGTCGGATTGGCTACCTCTGTGGTTGAGGTTTGGCCAAAAGGTCCAGTCTATGGTCCAGTTAAAAAGGGAGAGGGAGGAACTCACTAGATTTCCACACAAAAAGTCATCAAATGAACGAGGACACAAGTCATTGTGACCGTGGCTCAAATAAGCCACAAGCCATTCAAGAAAACCCTTCCCAATCCCCAATTGGCTTCAAACAAAAATCCGGTCATGGCCTGCTTACGATTTGGGGCCGTCCAAGAATCTTGCGGGAGCAATAGGCCAGCGAACATCATTCGAGACAGAATTTGAAGGGGCCCAGGGCCTGGTTGATTCCCGAAATATAAGCCAGCCAACTGATCCATAAGGGAGTTCTGCCATTTCCTTTCAACCCGGTTTCTCCCCCCCGCCCCCCCCCCCCCCCATTTTCACCGAGGCAGACTTGAAGAAGGGCGCCTACTTCGTCACCGCCGACTTTAGTGGATGGGGCATCGATGCCTGGCAGCAAACCACGAGGGTCTGTGTGTTTTTTGCGGCTTGGTACCCTTTTCGGGGTTGGTTTAAAGGGAAACCAAAGGACAAGCGATATCCATTCCCCCTGAATTTTGAGATGTACCCACCAGGATTTGAAAGGGACGAAACGTGTGATGATGTTCTGAGCTTCGGGCGAACTGCAGCTGATGAGAGTCTCCGTTTGAAACAGCTGTTGTTTACAGGATTCTGCTTTGTAACCCTGAACAAGTTCGGACACAAGGGATTCTCTTCGTCAGTGCTTGTTTTCCGATTTATGTTTGTGCAATTTAACGCAGGTGAGAAGCATCACACTGGACGGTTAAGTACTGTTTTTCTAGCCATTTTCCGCAAACTCAAGCCAGGGTGCAGGAAGATCCCGGACCCTTGCTGGGGGGCACACCTGCGGGGTGACATCGTCAAGACGCTTGGGTGCCTGGGGAGAATTGCAAGGGTTGTCAACCCTGATTTATGTATTTTGGAACCCATCATGAAAATTTGATGACTATGATCGACACAATTTTTTTTTGTTGGTCATGCAAGTGCGCTTGGCCGCACACGTGACCAGCTCAGAGGCAGCCCTGCCCGACATGGAATCAAGGATGTTCGAAGGAAAGGCAAACGCTTCCGGCGCCTCCCCGCCTTGAAGTGGAGGGAGTTTGGAACGGATTGTTCGCATTTGGCTCTCGTTCCTTCTTTGGTCCTTGGCTAGGAGCCTATGGAGGATGCTGGCGCTGGGGAGTGGAAATTCCAGGTGCACCTCATCCGGCCAGGCGCGTGGGCGCAAGTTTCTCCATTACTCGAAAAGGGGGGGTGGAGCTGATTTGGTGCTCCGACATGCTATTGGCCGGCAGGCGGGCGCTTTCAGATCCTCCGGAACCGTGATCTGGAGCAGACCCTGTCCGGGCGCTCAGCTTGCGGGAGGAAGGCACTCCAAAAGTGGCAGCTTCATCGGACCCCGCCAGTGGCAACTTTCGACGGAGTCAAGTGATCCCGGAGGCAGCTGGGTTTCAGATCCAGTCAGAGCTTCCCCTCGTGAAGGGAATGTTCTTGGTATGCTTTTTGTCTGGCACGCGCAATTCGCCGAGTCGGCGGTTTGGCTAAATGGTGCGACTTTCTTTTGGTCAAGTGACTTTGAAGACACCCACACTGGAGGGAATTCGAAATCCGCAGCTTGATGCTTTGGCAATACTGTTGGAACAACTCAGGAACACAACACTGCAGTTTCTCTGCGCTCTTTCGGCTTTGGGCCGTTTTTGAATGAGTCTCAACTCACTTTGGTTTAGGCTGAATTGGATGGCTGACAACAACTACATTGTCGTGTCGGTTTTGCTTCTGGATTGTCTCTGCAGCCTCACTGACATCTCCGACATGTTATTTCTGACAAGGGATACTTTGTTTAGCTCCTGCCACACTGCCGCGTGCAATAAGTCCTTCTATCCTGTCGTGCCTTGCATATGAAACTGTCAACGGGGGGAGAACTTGAAATGGCCACTTCATGTGTCCGTGGAAGTCACCTGCTGACCAACAAGCGTTGACGCACTGTCGCTTATCTGACACATATAGTGATTCAAAACTTGGCGGTACTGATGATGATGATCATGATGATGATGATCATGATGATGATGATCATGATGATGATGATCATGATGATGATCATGATGATGCTGATGCTGGGGTGATGCCGGTGATGCCAATGATGGTGATGCTGGTGATGCTGGTGATGCGACTGATGGTGATTCTGGTGATGATAGTGATGCTAGTGATGCTGGTGATGCCACTGATGGTGATGCTGGTGATGCTGGTGATGCTGGTGATGCTGGTGATGTCACTGATGGTGATGCTGGTGATGCTGGTGATGCTAGTGATGCTGGTGATGCCACTGATGGTGATGCTGGTGATGCTGGTGATGTCACTGATGGTGATGCTGGTGATGCTGGTGATGCTGGTGATGCTGGTGATGCTGGTGATGCTGGTGATGCTGGTGATGCTGGTGATGCTGGTGATGCTGGTGATGCTGGTGATGCTGGTGATGCTGGTGATGCTGGTGATGCTGGTGATGCCTGTGAGCCAGTGATGCCGGTGATGTGGATGCAGCCAGAAGACACAGCCCAGAGAAGCGGAACTGCAGCACCAGCTTATGAAATTGTTTGTCGGCATCGGCATCACCAGCATCACCACCTTCAATACTTGGTGCATACCATGTAGCTTCAAGGTGGGGTGTGGGCCGGTTGCCAGGTGTAAATCTTGGGGGCGCAGTTTAGCCATTGTGCCTTTTCATGGCCCAACAAATGCCCACAAAGAGACTTAGACTTCGAAGCCTCAAACAGAATTGCCAACATTAACAAAGAGAGGGAGAGAGAGAGATGTCAGAGTACATGCGGTGTTGTACTGCATAGCTTGTACATGACCGCAGGCCTTGAGCTTTACTACATTGCGAGCCCATGAGAAACAGGAGTTGTGCAGACTACAGGTCTATTTGTGTTAACAACATTACAACACTTGCACTTGTAGTAAACAGCAGTCTGAATTTAACGTGGTAGCGGAGCTGAGATCCTAAACATGGGGGAGCTCCAGTACCCAGCAGTAAGTACTACAACAGCTGCAGCAGCAATCACATGCCAAACTACTTCAACATGTCAGGAGAAGCAGCATCAGCTTCAGCGCCACAACCTACAGGAACAGAGAATGGGCCAGCAGAAACAGTAGGAGCCACAAGTACGGGAGCAGGAACAGGCAAGACAACGACATTCAGAGACTACACAAATACAAGCTGCCACCACCTTTCTTCACTGGTGACTACTCCCAGTATGAAGAATGGCTGTTCAAGACAAGCATATCTCGGACTCATAGACCGAGACTTCGGCTTGGTGCTACAACTGGCGCAAGTAGCTACACGACAAGTTGAGGATGAAGACGAGGAGTAGATATTGCCAGAGATCTATCCTACATTCTCATCAACATATGTCAGGGAGAAGCAGCTACAGTAGTAAGGAAAATGCTAAAACGGAAATGGATGTGAATTAATACGACTCTTAAATAACAGGTTGAGAATACCAGTAGGAACACGAAGCGTTGGCTTACCTTACCAAACTACTGGAACCTACATTCAATGAAGCACAGTTTGAACCAGATGGAGTAAAGATTGCAATACTACTCAACAAAACCGAAGGAGCGCTGCAACAACATCTCCAACTGCGAGCTGGACAGATCACGAACTACAGCGAGATCAGAGCAGTCATCCTGGACTACTACAAGACGATCTCT